GGACAAAACCCTGTTTGGAATCAAGAAAGTCTCTAAATCAGGGATTCCTCAGGAAAAACTTTCCTTTGTCAGTGTTTGTGTCTGATGCTCTTTATTCCTGTAGCACCTGGGCAGCAGGGTGAGGAATGTGGGATTGGAACATGTGGAAAATCCAAAGGATTTTGGGCATTGGATACCTGTGAACCCCATTGTGCTGCCAGCCAAGCAATGCCAGGCTGGTCTGAACCACAACACCCCAAAATAATAAAAAAAAGTCTCTAATAAATGAATTTTTAAACCTCAGAAACTCCAAGCACTGCTGAACTGGGCACTATGGAGCAAAGAATAATTTAAATTTAAATCACATCATCTTTTTCTTCTGGCTTTTCAATTTATCAGTGTGTTTTGGGTTTTTTTCCTCATGGCTTAGCACTATCTTGACTTCCTGGGCAGAAATGTTGGTTTAAGCATGGGTTTGGCTGCACTGCCTCTTTATCTCTTTCTTTTCCTGAATGCTGTAGGCATAAATAATCTTGAATTTATCAAATTTGCTTGCCCCAGTAGATATTAAACACTTGTAACACGAAGCTTTGAGCGCACAAATGCTGCCTTGGTGAGGAGTGAATGAATAAAATCTATAGACTGAATTAAATTATTCTTGTTTTGTTGTGGTTTCCTTGTCCTGCTTTTCTTCTGCTTTCACACCAAGCGGTTTTGCATCCACAGTCTTCCTTGATATCGTGAAAATGGGAAAATTCTGGATTTTCAGGCTTGAAAATTGAAAATTTCACATTCTCTGGAAATGTCCATCGCTGTTCCATTGAGCTTTTTTTTTCCTTTTTTACCTTTATTTTCTTCCTTTTATTTTCTTTTTTCCCCCTTTTTCCTTTTTTTTAAATTTTTTTTTTCATTTTCCCCTCTTTTTTCCCCTTTTCCCTTTTTCCTTTTTCCCCTTTTCTTCCATTTTTCCATTTCTTCCATTTTTCCTTTTCTTTTTCTTTCCTTTTTTTCTCTTTTTTCCCCTTTTTCCTCTTTTCTTCCTTTTTTCCTTTTATTTTTC